TTTTTGAGGCCAAATCTACCGATGGAGATACATACTTGGGTGGAGGAAACTGATAACCAAATGGTCAGTTTACTTTCTGCGTTTAAGCAGAAGCAGCAGAAGGACATAAGCGTAATCAGAGAGCTGCCCATCATGTACACTCTGCTTGTGCATGGGCTAAGCATACCCTCTCCTCCAGCACCCATGCCAGTATTGATATTGATTCTTTCTGTGAGGAATTTACTTCTATACCTCCATTATCAATGATGGGTTTGAAGAATTGACTGCTGACTTACTCCATGGTACCAGTGACTATGTAGAGAAGGCCTTAAAGATACCAAACTAGACAAGTCACAGACCCATGATATTGTCCTGATGGGTGGTTCTACCAGAATCTTCACGATTCAGAAGCCTTTGCAAGACTTCTTCTGTGGAAAAGAATCGACTGTTAGCATTAACCCTGATGAAGCTGTTGCTTCCAGTGCAGCTGTCCAGAAGGCCATTCTATCTGGAGACAAGTCTCATAATGTTCAGGGTTTTGCTTCTCTTAGGTGTCATTCCCTTCCTCTTTATATTGAAGCTGCTAGTGGAATCATAACTATCTCTATCTAGCACAGAACTGCCATTCCTACCAAGTAGATACAGACCTTCACCTATTCCAAGTGTGCCCATTCAAGTGGAAAAGCCTTGACCAAGGAAATTTGAACTCATAGGTGTACCTCTTGTACCCTGTGGTATTTCTCAGATTGAAGTCACTTTTGACATCGATGCTAATGACATCCTCAGTATGTCTGTTGTAGATAAGGATACATGATGGAGGAAGTCCTTCATGTTTCTCTTATTGGTTGATGAATAAAACACTGTTGGCCAATAGGGCAGGAAGGAAGATAGGCAGGACTAGGAGGAGGATTCTGGGAAAGGCAGGCAGAGAGAGCCAGACAAAGAGCCTTTCGCAACAGGTACACAAAAGGAGAACAAGTTAACCATCACCAATGACCGGGGCTGCTTGAGCAGGAAGGATATTGAGCACATGGTCCAGGAAGTTGAGAAGTACAAAGCCAAGGACAAGAAGTAGAGGTCAGTTATCCTCCAAGAATTCACTAGAAACCTGTGCATTTAACATGAAAACAACAACCAAAGATGAGAACCTTCAAGGCAAGATCAACGATGAAGTCAAGCAGAAGATTCCAGACAAATGTGGTGAAATCATCAGCTGGTTAGCTAAGAGTTGAACACCAGCAGAAAGAACTGGAGAAAGTCTGCAGCCTTAACAAGCTGTAGCAGAGTGTGGGTGGTGTGTCTGGAGGAGTTGCCTGCGGGCTTCCCTGGAGGGGAGCTGTATCTGGGGGTGCTTCCTCAGGACTCATCATGAAAGGGGTGAAGTAGCGTCTAAGTAGTGATGTGGCATTGTTCCACAGGGAAACCCTTAAGGGGCAGATTTAGCAAGTTCTGTGACGGGTTTGGAGTTAACTTGCTACAATAAATTACTGGGCATTTCCAGTACTAGAACATGTACAGGAAGAGGAAATAACATTGCACGTTATAAGTACTGTGTCCTGCCCTCTCTGTCTTCTCTACCCTGGGAGCAGCTCTCCTGCCTTAGCCCCTCACCCCTGAAAATATATACCTGCTCCAAGTTCATTTCCACCCACTCCTTGATCAGGAGCACCTCTCAGCTGCTGAGTCGTCCCTTGTCTGCAGTGGAGTTGAATCGACCACAGACTTGGACAGATGAGGGCTTCAGCAGCTTGGCAGCCCCTCGTCCTCTGACCTCACTCATCCCTAGCCACAGCTTCCAAACCAGCGTCATTTCCAGGGACATTGACACAGCCGCCAAGCTCATTGGGGCTGGGGCTGCTACAGTTGGGGTGGCTGCCTCGGGGGCTGGAATTGGAACTGTTTTTGGGAGCCTCATCATTGGTTATGCCAGGAACCCTTCTCTGAAGCAGCAGCTCTTCTCCTACGCGATTCTGGGCTTTGCCCTCTCAGAAGCCATGGGGCTCTTCTGCCTGATGGTGGCCTTTCTCATCCTCTTTGTCATGTGAAGCAGCTGTCTCTGCTTCCACCTCCCATAGTTCTTTCGTGTCCTGTCTGCCCTGTATGTTCCTTTTCCTGTACTTCCCCAGGAAGTCTGGGGAAAGTGTTTGGCTCAGGGTTTGACAGAGAGAAGACAAATAAATACTGTACTAATAAGAAAAAAAAAGTACTGTGTCCTAAGTAAAAAATGCAATGTCTAAAATAAAACTACTTAAAACTGGCACTATAAAAAGCTTTACCAGATTAGATTTTTTATTATTTGTTTTATTATACTCGTTTATTGGTTGGTTTTGTATGTGTGTGAGCGTGTGTATGTTGCATTTGCGTGTGTGTGTGTGCACGCGTATGTGTGTGCATGTGTGTGAGCATGTGTGAGCATGTGTGTGTGCATGTGTGTGCACTCATGTGATAGGCCAGTGTCATAGAACTTATGTGGAGGTCAGAGGACAACTCTCAGGTTCTCACCTTCTACTATGTGGGCCCTGCTGATCAAACTCAGACATCAGGCTTGACAATAAATGTCAGCCTGCTAAGTTGTTTTATTGGCCCTATTTATTTACTTGTGATTTCGCTTTACTTTTTAAAAACTGTTTATTACATTTATATCTATGTAGGAGGGAAGGGCTTAGTGTATTCCATAGTACACCTGTGGCGGTCAGAGGACAATTGGAAGTCAATTGGGAGTGGGCTCTCTCCTCCACCATGAGGCACCTGGGACTAAACTCAGGTCATCAGACTTGACAGCAGGCACCTTTACTAGGCCAGCCTGGTCTACAGTGCTGTTACACAGAAAAACCCTGCCTCAAAACCACACAAACACACACAATGTAAAACCCAAAAGTAACACACACCGATACATAGAGCACACAGTGGCCTTTTGAGCAAAAGGTTCTGAGTTCACATGCTGGCTCTGCTTCTTGTTAAATGTTGTTAAATGTTTCTAGGTCCCCACATCTCTGAAATAATTTAAACGATTTCTGATAAATCATACAATCATGAGGCATGCTAAAAACAAGTCCTTGTTTGTCTAAAATCTGAGTTGGCTGGGCATGGGATTTGTGTTTTTCCTGCATCTCCCTGTTCTACCAGCACTCCCCAAAATACCTCAGCTCTGATGAGCCATGATAGAACTTAACAGGCCTTAGGGAAGATGTGAAATGATGTATGGTGCTGTCCCCTGCTGGTAGGTTGTGCTAACACCATCCACATTAATAGTGTACCATCTGTACAGTGGGTTTCTTAATAGATCCCCCGCCCCCCCCAGGTAACAGACACATAGCTAACCAGAATTTGGCTACTTCATCTAAACTAATGACTACTTTAGTCCCACTAACACCATAGCATTCCTCCTTAGCTATACAGTCTTACAACTTTATGTTTTGAGACAGTCTTCCCATGAAGTCCCACTATAGACACCAAAATGTCCCAAACTCATGGCAACCCTCCAGGTTCATCTTCCAAGTGATGGGATTACAGACACATGTCACCATACCTGGCAGGTCTTACACTTTAGTTAGAGTGGGTAAATGTATGTATACATTTAGGATTTACAATTGCATTGGGGTTGAATGTGCTATGTGTATCTCTTTAAAATTGTACATTTTCACTTACCAAACCACATTAAGGCCACCATAGTACATGAATGTTTTCTTGTTATGACAGAAGTATGCTGTGTGCCTTAAGTGCTGATACATGCACATGCATGAAGAACTGACATGCAATCAGGGATTGGTAAGGCCACTGGCTTCTACTATTGTGTATATATACCCCCCCACACACGCTCATTCACACATATATACTCACATACATACATATTAGATATTTTAGCATGGTATTGTTCCCAAAGAACTTGGTAAGGTAATACATAAATCTCCTCTAACAGTGAAGAAGATACATAAGGTTTCTAAGGCAGGAGTCGAGAAAACGCTACAGCTCTCTCGAGAACTGCTGTCTCTGCATCCAGGTTTGCAGTTGAATGGTCTGTACTCTTTTCTTCGCTTCCCAAGGCCACCTGGAATGCCTTGGTAATGAAACGTGTGCCTGCCACTCTTCACCGGTTGGTTTCAGGAGTTATGTACATCACACTGGCCAGAGGGATGAACGTTCTTTAAGCAGCGCACCTCTGAAATGCTAGCCTGAGCTGTTCAGTGTACAACTCAGTACTGAAGCTGAGTAGCCCAGGGCTGGCCAGGAGAATAAATCCACTGACAGTCTCCAGCTCTCGGGGGCAGTGTCCGAACAACTGGTAGGAGAAGCTGGAGCCAATGGGTCCCAGGTCAGTATCTCCCACCTTGGGAGGTTTCCTAAGGGAACTTAGGGCTGGTACTGAAAGACCCGTGGAGGGCTCCAACCCTCACACCCCGACTCAGGAAAGGCGCCCCCCCCCCAAATCACTCACAAGAAGCGGTCTTGATGCAAAAGCATGAGGTCTTTTATATTCCAGTGCGCTGGGGTCCGCAGCCATACTCCATGTGGGGTAAAGGACTGGGAACCCTTGGTACAGGGTTTAGACGGCTTTTATAGGGTTACAACAAAGCCCGCGCATTACAAACCAATCATCTCATAGTGTGGACCAATCAATTTGAACCATCCAAGCCCGAGCTTTGCCCAGGAAGTCTGCTTTTGCTGGGGCTCCTGGGTAGTGTGGCACGGCTCATTTCCTGTTCTCATTCACTCACAGGTGCTGTTGGTAAACCCACCCTGTCGTGAACAGTCAAGAATGACCTTTTGCCTACTCACTGCTAGGGGGCAGAGTCTAGGGAAAATTAGGCTAAAATTTTCCATCCTTACAGTACCTGTCTCTTTCCACACTGGTTTTGTTGTTGTTGTTTTATTTGTTTGTTTTTGTTTTTCAAGACAGGGTTTCTCTGTTTGGAGCCTGTCCTGGAACTAGCTTTGTAGACCAGGCTGGCCTTGAACTCACAGAGATCTGCCTGCCTCTGCCTCCTAATTGCTGGGATTAAAGGCATGTACCACCAACACCCATGAGTTACCTATATAGCAGATTCTTTGTTCTTCACACAGCCATACCTATCAGTTTAGAAATGGAATGGGAACCCGATATGAAAGAAAGTGACTGGTTCCTGAAGCAGCTGTGCAGAAAGGCTGCTGACGTGTGTCTAGACTTGAACAATTGTGGATTAACAGCTGCAGATGCCAAGGAAACAGGTCTGTATGATATTAACTTTGTATAGAGAATGTAAGGCCTTTATATCAAGAAGAACAGTCAAAAGGTACACAGTGACCCATGTGGCACACTGAGGTCCCCCAAGCGGTCCTAAACACCTTCAGAAAGCAGCAGCAATACTGTTTATTCGGGAAGAAAACAAACATAGAGAGAATTTGGCAGCTTTCTCCAAGCCCTGATTTCCACCATAGCCTCATTACACTTGTAACCCCAGCTCTTGGGAGGCAGCAGCAAAGGATCAGAAGGTTAAGGTCATCTTTGGCTACTCAGGGCATTTCAAGCCATCCTGGCCTCCATTAACTCACTACTGTGAAACAAAACAAAACAAATGAAAATCAAGTTGGTATGTTGCTTTTGAAAGTACTGACAGTTGTTGGGATTGTTTCTTGTTTTACAGCAAGAAGCATTGGTTTCTTTGAACAAATAAAAGCCTTCTGTGGGGGCTTCCCTCAAAAGAAAAAAGAAAGTAAATTGGTCCTCCCTAAAGCTTCCCAGATGTGAGCTGAGCTTAGATCAATTCACTTGTTTTCTTTCTGAGCAATTTTACCTACTGGTTATTGCTTCTTGCTCTTTGAGATAAATCTGTTCCCCCAAAACTATAAACTAGTCAATCTAACCCATGAGCCCTGCAGAGAAGTTAAAGGGGTTTTGCCTTGTTTATTGTGGAGGGACAAAAGCAAAACTGTTTACATCTTTTACAACCAAAAGTAACGAAGTTTGTTGCCATAGCATCTCTTCAGTAGTCAAGAGCCCTCCTCCCACCTTACTCTTCAATTCTGCTTCTCGGTACCTTAAAAAAAGCCTCTGACGAGACAGCATGCATCTGCCAATAGAGAGATTCCAAAACTACTTCAAAATTAGGTGTCCTCTGCGGTGCAATATTAGTTGAGGATGTGTTACATTTGTTTATACTGTGGAATATTTAATGATGCAAGGATGTATTGTATTATTTTATGTTGTATTTGTCTAGCTCTGTGAAGCTGTGTTACTTTGTCTAAAACACCTGATTGGTCTAATAAAGAGCTGAAAGGCCAATAGCAAGGCAGGAGCAAGGATAGGAGGGGCAGCCAGGTAGAGAGAATAAATAGGAGGAGAAAAAGAGAAGAGGGAGGAGAGAGAAAAGGAGAGGAGGATACCAGGGGCCAACCACCCAGCCACACAGTCAGACACAGAATGAGAAGAGAAAAAAGATATACAGAAATAGAGAATGGTAAAAACCCAGAGGAAAAAGATAGACGGGATAATTTAAGAAAAACTGGTTAGAAATAAGCCAAGCTAAGGCCAGGCATTTATAAGTCATAGTAAGTCTCCCTGTGATTGTTTGGGAGCTAGGTGGCAGGCCCCCAAAGAGCAAAGAGTCCAAATAAATAAATAAATAAATAAATAAATAAATAAATAAATAAGCTACAATCCTCAACTTAGTCTTAGCCTACATGGGCTGCAGTAGGGAACAGTCTGTCTGGAGTTCAGAAAGTGCAAGATCAATATGTCTTGGTCTAGTGAGGCCTCTGCCCACTCCCATTCTCCATCGTGTATTCTGGCAGTGTCCTGCCACAGTGCACAGGACAGGCTCCTTCGAGCCAGCTCCCTTTGGAAGTTACTTCTCTGTTGCTGTGATAAAACACTAACCGAGTAACTTATATGGACGAGTTTGTTCTGGGCTTATGACTCCGAAAGGTTAGAGTCCTCAGCTTAGGAGTGGAGGCAGCAGGCAGCAGCCGACAGCTAATATCCCCAACTATAGATGGGAAACAGAGAGAGGACCCCGGAAACCTCAAAGTCTGCCCTAGCGACACTCTCCCTTCATCCAGGCCACACCTCCTGAGCCTTCCCAAACAGGGCGACTAACAAGTGGCCAAGGATTCAGATGCTGAAGACTTGTGGACGCCTCATTCGAACCACTACAACCACTAACTATGCTTGCGAGAGCTCCACCTTCAGAAATTAATTGCCTGAATAATATCCTGTCTTCCTCTTTAAAATATTTCATTTTACTATTATTTGTGTTTTGTCTGCATGTGTGTATGTGCAATATGGGCCACTGATGCCACAAGGGGGCGCCAAACCCCTGAGATTGGAGTTATAGATGATTGTGAGCCATCATAGGGGTGCTGGGATCTGAGTTTGGGTCCTCTAAAGAGCAGCAGGGCTCTTAACTGCTGAACTATCTCTCCAATCCATGATCCCGCCCCTCAATACTAATACAGTGGGGATTAGCTTTCATACGTGCATAGGGGAGGGAAGGACATACAGATATTTAGAATATAGAACTATTTTAATTACTTAAAATTAATTTTAATTAAATTTATGCCATAATGGGACAGGGCTCTTTAAAAAATGTTTTTAAGTTACACTAATTGTTTAGTTAATTTGTTATGTGTGTGCATATGCATATGTGCATACTATCTCTCACTCATGTATATTGGTCAAAAGACACTTGAGAAAGTCATTTCCCTCTATATTTAGCCCAGGGCCTCAAGATCAAGCTCAGTTGTTCAGGTTGAGTGGGCCAGTGTCCTAACCCACTGAGTTATCTGCACAACCCTAGGATAGGATTCTTAGCAAAAATTATAAGCCCAAACCTAAGGGATTAGAGACACTCAGCACTTCTGGGAATGCAGCCAAACCTGCAGAACTGGATTATTCTGTCTTGTGTTTTAACAAACACTTCAGGGGACTCTGATGGACACTAAACTAGGATCTATATCTCAGCCCATCCTCAGGGGATTCTGATGGATGCTGGTTTTACCACTGGTTTGTGTTTGAGTGCAGCAGTTACATTTCCTTCATGAAGTTGCCACCAGGAAGGAGACTTAACATCCTTTATGAATTCAAACAAAAACCGGAATGAAAGCAGTCAGCTGCTAACTCAGTGTTTGATGTCAGAAAAGCATGATTTTTCTTTTCTTGTATTGAAAGACCTGCAGAGCGTGGACCTTCACGCTCCCACTCAGGAAAGGCGACACCCCAAATCACTCACGAGAAGCGGGTCTCGATGCAAATAGCATGAGGAATTTTTATTCCAAGTGTACTGGGGTCCACCGTCGTACGCCATGCAGGTGTAGAGGACTGAGGACCTCGAGGGCAGAATTGAGATAGCTTTTATAGGATTTACATCAAAGCTAACAAGGCCAGTTTCAATGCTAGCCTGTTATTTTCACTAGGCCTTAAAGCAAGGTCGTGGGATAATTCAAAACTTGGATGGTTAATAAGGTTTCCTAGGTTACAGAGACTTCATAGCGTACACAGTTTTTATAAGGCGGGATTGTTTAGTGCACCTGCAAGGTTAGGAGGTTTTCTTTCTCTAGGACCAGCGGGCTCAGTGACCTTGTCCTTAATTAAGATAATGGGGGGCAGGGAGAATGTACTCTCCAGTCAGGGAGTTAGCTATATCTATTGGCAGAAGCACTTGTTCTTTCTAGTTTTCCCTTCTTGCCATGAGTCCTGTCTCTTTTAGTTATTAATTTTCTTTGTTGGCAGGATGACCCATAACAATTCCCAGACTGTTGTTGAGAATAACAACATTCCTCAGAAACTAGGTGGTTATGAATAATAATAATAATTTCCAGAAACCAGTCATCGTGACCAAGCTATTTCATGTATTTTCTTTTTCCTGAGCTTTGCTTGTAGCTAGGGTGATTTTTAAATACATGCTGGTGGATATTTTTAAATTTCTAACTTTTAGTGATCATTAGAGAGTTAGGTTGTATTTTCATCCTTTCAGAATTTTTTGTTGTTGTTTATGCCTTATGTATTCAGTGGTTTTGAAAGGATGGAAAAATACAACCCAACTCTCCAATGATCCCAGGAAGCTAGAAGTTTAAAAGTACTAAATATCTTAAATTCCAGACCATACCCTCAGCTAGTAAATAGGCTAAAGGTCACACTCCTTGACACTTACCTGACTTTGTAAACTGCTTGTGAAACCCCTGTCCCAGTGACCTAACCTAACTGCCATTTGTCACCCTGCCTAGGAGCCAGCACAAATGTAGACCTCAAGGGATATAGAAAACTGATTGGTCTATAAAGCATGGGCTTGGATGGTTTAAATTGATTGGTCCACACCGCGCAGGCTCTGGATACTGTGAGATGATTGGTTTACGATGCACAGGCTATAAAACCCTATAAAAGCTGTCTCAATTCTGTACTCAGGGTCCTCAGTCCTCTACCTCTGTGTGGCGTATGACTGTGGACCCCAGTGCACTTGGAATATAAAAGACCTCATGCTTTTACATCAAGACCGCTTCTTGTGAGTGATTTGGGGGGGGGGGCTCCTTTCCTGAATGGGAGTGTGAAGGTCCACACTCTGTGGGTCTTTCAGTTTTTGTCCTTTACAAAGTTTGGTTATGGTGAATAGGATGCAATGGCTGAGTGCTTTGAATGCTGCTAGGAGGTTTTTTGCTGGAGCTGTGGTTTCAGAACTGGAACTCCAGACTCTTGATCTGAAACCACAGAAGCCCAATGCACTGCTTCCTGCTGTCCTTTTAATGCTCAGGACAGACTGTAGCAGCATCCAGGCATGCCTTGCCCATCTCCACCCACCTTGCTGTTCCTGAAAATATAGATGTCCTTTGAGAATTTTCTACAAGCTATGGTACAGACTCAGAGAAAGCTGAATCCACAAACCCGCCACATCTCTATCCATTTATATATAAGACAGGACAAGGGTGGCAGTGGCTCACACCTTTAATCCCAGCACTCTGGAGGCAGAGGCAGTCGGATCTCTGTGATACATAGCAAATTCCAGGCCAGCTAGGCCTGAATAAGGAAGCCCTGTCTTGAAATTAATGATAATCAATAAGTAGAAGGTAGTAATAACTAGGCGATCAGGATAATGAAGAAAATGTGTTGTAGAATATTATTTTAACCAGGTAAAGAGATGTTACATTCGTTTCTGCTGCCTTTGTGTTGGCATTTCACCTTGCCTACCTAAGGCACCAGATTGGTCTAATAAAATGCTAAACAGCCAGTAGCTAGTCGGAGAGGGATGGGTGGGGCTGGCGGGCAAAGGGAAAACGTAGAAGAAATCTAGAGAAAGGGAGAAAAGAAGGAGGGAAGAATGAGGAAGAAAGAGAGTACATGCCCCAGGGCCAGAAGCCAGGCAGCTGTCAGGCAGCCAGACGCTAGAAGCAGTTGAAAGTAAGATATACAGAAGGAAAAAAAGGCAAAAAGCCCCGAGGCAAAACATAGGTAAAGACAAACAGATTAAAATAAGAACTAAGATACGGTTGAGCATCTGTAACTGATAAGAAGTCTCCATGTTATGATTTGGGAGCTGGTTGGTGGCCCAAAAGAAAAAGCCTGCTACAAAAAATGTACAGACAGTCCTGGTCTCTGCTGACTGACCCTGGACATTCGCCAGCTTCCAGTGTGAGCGTCTGATAGAGCAAGGGGCTGCATGTCAGATGGCTTTGCAACATACAAAGAACAGTATTTACAGAATAGCAACAGTTGCACTACTGGCAGCAGGCACAGAGTTGCCATTTCTACCTTAGAGTTCAACACCAACAGAAAGTGGTAGAATCTTGTGTGGACATCTCTGTGTTTTAGAGTGCAATCTTATTTCTTTTTGGAAAAAATAGAAAATATCCCAAGAAATGGGAAATATAAATGGGACAGTTTCCTCACTTGAAAGCAAGAGATCCCTGCTTTGCTAAATGTCAACATGTCTGGTCCCTGAAACTACACCTACCCTGAGCACATGGGCGCTGAGTTCTGATGTATTACAAATCACAAATTACACGCACAGATCTGCATTTTCTTCTGCCCACTTTAACTGCTTTGCTGCCTTTCCTCTTGACGTGGATGCACTGGACATTTCCTGGAATGATTTTGTCAGCGGAACACTTTGCTTGTTCACTGAGCAGATGCATCAGGTTCGCAAGCTGAAAGTCCTGAGGCTGAGGAGCTGTGGACTTACCACTGAGGATGTTCAAACACTGGGTAAGGTGACGCCTCTCCCAAAACGTATTGACATCTCTTTGTATTCCAACTTGAAAAAACAAATAAAAGAACAGGGGCTGGGGAGGTAGCTCAGGTCATAAAAAGTTTGTCTTGAAAACACGACCCAACTTTGAACTTTAGAACCCATATAAACTGAATGTAGCAACACAGGCCTAGAATCCCAGTATTTTATTTTTGAAATTGTTCACAGTAACCATACACTTTCATTATTACAAAAAAGAAACAGAGAAACACAAAACAAAACAGGAGGACCCTGTTAAGTCAGGCTTGGTGGTATAGACAGAGATCCTAAAGGCTGAGGAAGGAAGGTCACAAGGACAAGTCCAATCCAACTACCTTAATCAAACTGTCTCAAACCAAAAGTTAAAAAGAGGTAAAGTTGCTGGGCTGCCTCAGTGCGAGGAGTCCATCATGCTTAGAATGTGTAAGGTCCTAGGATCAACACCACAGAACAGACAAGCTTTTAAACTGACTGGCTCTGAAAAGGCCAGGAAATCTCTGCTGTGGGCCCAACACTGGGTAGGTTTATTATTGCTCTTGAAGACATCAGCTTTATTATGTTCAGTGCTAGGAAGTTATTGATACTGATAAAAATAATAATAATGGCTCCAGTGGTATCCATGGTGAGCACTAGCTCTCTGTATAGAGTGGATTTGTTATAGGGATCAACACCATTTTCTTCCCTAAGACTTTCAGGGTCTGCAATGTCTTTTTAACTGGCAGCCTGAGTAAATCTAAGGTCAGTGCTCAAGTGTAATTGGTGGCGATGCGGTGGTCCTTCTGTATATATGTTTCTCTTACTGGTTGATGAATAAAACACTGTTTGGCCAATGAGGCAGGAAGATAGGCAGGACTAGAAGACAAGGGGAATTCTGGGAAAGGTAGGCAGACAGAGTCACCATGTGAGTCCAGGAAGAGAGGATGTACCAGGCTTTCTCCAGTAAGCCAAGACCAAGTGGAAATATGTAGAATAATATAAATGGATTAATAATTAAGACAGAGCTAGCCAATAAGAAGTCCAAGCCACTGGCCAACAGTTTTATAACTAATATAGTGTCCGTGTGTTTATTTGGGGCTGAAGGGCAGCAGGATCAGCCGGGGCAAAGACTATGGTGATATAGTCAAGTGTTCTCAGAGACTTCAGAAGAACTAGTGGCAATTGGTATCTTAGAGGGAGAGCTTGTGAAGTCACTGTTGGGTCCATTGAGGCATAGTTGGTAGGGACTCTAATGACCTCCTTTTGCTTTAGAAGGACAGCATATTCACTTAACCTCCTCTCCTGCTCTGCTCCCCTCCCTCCCTGCTCACCTTTCCCACTGCCTCACAATATGAATTTCAGGACTGTAGTGGGAGATGTCATTCTGTTTCTCTTATTGGTTAATGAATAAAACACTGTTGGCCAGTAGGAAAGCAAGACTAGGAGACAAGGAAGATTCTGGGAGATGTATTGGGAGAGTCAAGATGTAGGGACTTGAGAGGAGGTCGGGACCCTTTCTCCAATAAGATGAGACCACATGGAAACACTTAGATCAATAGAAATGGGTTAATATTTAAGACAGAGCTAGCCAATAAGAAACACTAGTAACAGGCCAACAGCTTTATATCGAATACAGCATCTCTGTGTGTTATTTGGGGCTGACACGGCTATGGGACCAGGCTGGTGGGGAAACTACTCATAACAGGACTGGGGTTGGGGCATGCTTTGTAGATGGTGCCTTTGCATCCTTGGATGTGCTGAGGATGCTAGATCTCCCCTGCAACAAGGAACTGGGTGGAGGCTATGAAGGCTCACCTGCTCAGCTGGCCTGGCAGAGCACCTGGATGTCCTGGATCCTCACTAACAGCAGGTGATGTGACCTCACTGAGAAAGTGACCCCCGAGGAGCAGACCCTGTGGGTGTGCCTGGGAAGTTAGTGTCACTGTCAAGTCACCAGAGCTTGTGTGTGCACTGAGCACCCAGTAAATGTTAAGGAATCCAAGATTTGGTACTTGAAAGAGAAACTTTTGAATTTCTCTTGCGTTTTAGAAACAAGTATGTTAGTGTCACAACCTTGATTACTTACAGGTATGTAAACCAAAATGAGACTTTTAAATGACAAAGTTAAGACACTTAGAGAAAAGGCAGTTCCTGAAAAGGGACCAGGGTGATACATAATGGATAGACATTCGGACTTCAGATAATGGAAGTTCTTTCCTACTGTCAACCCAGTTCTGTAGTTATTACCTGTAATATATAAATGCAATCTCCCATAGCAGGAAGATCAGAAATTGCTCTTCCCTGTCCGTATGTGGTCATACTGAACCTTCAAGACACTGAACATGACTTCACATCAAACATCTACTATCCTAATTTGGGAGCCTGACATCTTGGACCTCAACTGTTGCAAGAGCCCAAATGTCTTCTTGTCCCTCTGCCTCTCTTCCTTTGTTTCCCAACTCTCATCTCATTAAACTCCATTCAGGCCTCACTGTCCTTGGGCATACCAGGCATGCTGGAGTCCTTGAGTCTCTGCTCAGATTGAGGGCAACTTCCAAGATAGGAGTGGATCTGATCCTGAATTGCCCCGTGGTTCAAGTGTAGGTACCCACACATTCCTGGCTCCCACTAAGGACATGCTTAATATGCAAATGGATGGCAAATATGAATAACAAAGATTTTAAAACACTCTTTGGGGAAGGAAAATAGTAAAAATAAAATTTCAACTCTAACAACCACCTTTTGGGTCTGCTGAGTTATTCCACAGACTCTTGTCCCTCCATCTGGAATAATGTGAAGGAGGGCAATTCATTTGTCGGGGTCCATACAGATGGCTTTACTTCATCTTGACTTACAATCAGAGAGTTCAAAACTATCCTTACTCTTCCAAGGTTAAAATCGTAAGACCTAAAGGTCTAAGGTGCAACTACTGTAGGTGTGGATGCCTTACCTAGGTCTAAGGTGTGGTTACTCTCAATCCTCAAAGCCAAATAATGAGAAATTTAGTTTTGTGTGGGGCAATTTTACTAAATGTTTGGAGAGTTCAGGAAGAAAGTCTGTTTGCTCCTTGTATCATGAGAAGTCTTTTGTAATGCCCCCTTTTTGGTTCGGGTATTTAGTGTTGAAGAATAAACTTGAGGCATCCAGCCCTCCTGACTCTATTCTGTGTCTCCATCTTTTCCTGAGCATCTTTATCAGTTCATTTCCTCAGTCCACACTCCCCCTCTCAGGAACCAACCAGGCAAGCTGGCTGGATCTGACTGAAGCCCCACAAAGATGGATTAGTACAGAAATAAGGAGGGCAGTTTATTATAAACAGCCGAATAAGGAGGTGGACTTATTATATACACCTGAGTGAGGAGGGTGTTTATTATATACAGCTGAGTGAGGAAGATGTTTATTATAGGCAGTTGAATAAGATGGGTTTATTATATACATCTTAGTGAGGAGGGGTTTATTATACACATCTGAGTGAGGGGGGTTATTATAGACAGCTGAGTGAGGAGAGGGTTTATTATACACATCTGAGTGAGGAGGATTATTACAGACAGCTGAGTAAAGAGGGGGTTTATTACATACATCTGAGTGAGGAAGGGGTTTATTACAAATATCTGAGTGAGGAGGGGGTTTATAATAGACAGCTGAGTGAGGAGGGGGTTATAGACAGCTGAGTAAGGAGGGCTTAGCTAATATTGGTAGGGGGGTCTCTGTAGTGAAGCAGTCTCAGACTGCGGTCATTCAGAAGGAGGAAGCTGTGGCTGGTACATTCTGCACACACTGTCAACACCCACACTTGGACCATTCCCGAGCCATTCCCATGGGACTGAGGCCTTGGGTCCTTGGCAGGGCTGTTCTTGTATCAACTATACTCAGGACTTCCTGGGTTCCCCATAACAAACATCCCATTTCTACATGTATTATTGCTGCAGATAACTCCAAAGAAACAAAGTTGCAGCTCATCTAGCTAGAAACTACTGATCCATCTTCCAGTCGTGAGGCTCTGGACCATGACCACAGAATTCAGACAGAGCCTCAGCCTCATAGGGCAGGAATAAAACAAAACCTATCCACAGTTCTGTGGTGAAATCTGAATTGCTGTGGAGGGTGCCAGGGAATGGCTACTGGGACCACGAGTCCCACTTTCTCTTCCTTTTCTTTCTCTTCCTGGACCATCCTCTCACACACACTTCTGTGTCTTGATGTTCCCCACTCTGGGGATGAGGTAGTCACCCCCACGCAGGACTCACCTTCAGTGACGGAAGAAAACAAATATGTAAGCAAGAAAATAACGTGCAATTGTGGGAGCTCTGAAAAAGATGGGGGACTGTTATCAGTTCCTTCTCTGTTGCTGTGAGAAAACACCATGACCAAGACAACTTAGAAAAGGAAGAGTTTATTTGGGCTTGTGATTTCATGGGTTTCAGAGTCTGTGAGAGTGAAGCAGAGGCATGGCAATGGGTGGCAGGCGTGGCCGGGGGGATAGAAAGCTGCCAGTGTGTATCTTGGACCTCAAACACAAAGCAGAGAGAGAAAACTGGAAATGGTGTAGTGTCTTTAAACTCTCGGAGCCTGCTCCATTGGTAAACTTCCTATGAGGGCATTTCTCCCAAACCTCCCCAAACCGGGGACCAAGTATTCAAACATTCAAGCCTATGGGGACATTCACATTCAAACCACTACAGATATGATAGTGACTGAGAGGTACTTTGGCTTGGGTGGTCCTGGGAGACTCCGTGAGATAAGCTAGCTCCACAGGTCTCCTAGGATAATGTCTCCTATGTTGGTAAGTACTCCAGAGAAGCCTATAAGCAGGAAAACAGCAGAAAGATAGACTCTGGTTACCTGTAGCACCTGCAATTACTTACTGGGTCAATGTTAATTTATATGGCTGGTGAGAAATGAATCTTTGACCAAGCATAGGTTGCAGGAGTCACAGCCAAACTGAAGCTGTGAGAAGATTATTCCAAGCAGTCAAACTTTTTATACCTATATCAGAAACAGAATACAATGGCAATTGCCAAGGTCAGCACAATGGGAGTTGCCAGGGTACAATGACATTCGCAAGCTATGCAGCTAGGCCAGGCCTTCTCCATGATTCCCTGCAGCTCCTTTCGGCTAAGCAGGCTCCTTAGGAACCCTCTCCAATGCTGTCACTGGCAGGTCCTGGCTCTTAACGGTCCTCCTTTCTCTTCCTCCCAGAGCAGGGAGTACAGACATGCATTATCATGTTCAGATTGTGTGGCACTGAAGGCAGAATCCAAGACTTTGTGCATATTAGGCAAGCACTCTACCAACCATGCTACATCTGAAGCTCTCAGTAGCATTTTGCTTTAGGTTATATGAAGCCAACTATAGATATCTGTCTGGTAATTTGTAATTTTCTGAGAGGGAATATGAATTGAGGATGCTGTGAGTTTGATGGGAAAGTGAGATATTATTAATGTCTGAGTCTAGCTGACTACCCAGAATCCGTTCCCCACAGCACCTCTTGCTCTTTAGGAATCCTGGAGGTCATGCATTTATTCTAGCCTGTATCATGGAACTACCAAATCTAGACTTTCTTCCCATCATGGCAGGGAGGTGCACAGAGGTGAAGGAACATTGCAGAATATCCCCAAACATACCGTAACTCAGGTAAACAAGCATTTTGCCCACACAGTACTAGGGACCCCAGCATTATTTCCAGTTTCATTGATCCCTACGAAGACTCAAATCTCACAATATAGTTGTACTTTATAGCAAAGATTTATTACAGGGAAAAGACACAAAATACAATTGGGAAAGGAAAGTCTTTGTGAGACAAAGCCCTAAGGAACCAAGTGCAATCTCCCAAGAGTTCTTTCTCAGTGGAGCTGAACGGGGTACATTTAACTACTCCAGCAATGAGCTGTGACATGTGTGTGACGTATTCTATTGGGGCTCATCTGAACCTGTAAGCAAGGGTTTCACTGAGGTTCAGTCATACAAATATCCTCTCCCTAGGACATTAGGGAATTCAAAATTCACAGAAGGAAAACCTGTAGATGTCAGAATTCATATGATTAATACAAATAGATTAGCCACTGAGTGATGTCCTGAGGTGGCTGGGTTGTGAGAGCTTTTGCCTCATCAGTGCATCAACCATGACAGACTCAGAGTTGAGTGGGATGTTTATTGAAAGTGCTGGGATCAGTAGGAGGTGTGGTCCAACCAGGGAAAGGCATCCTGGAGCATGCCCTTGATGGCCATATCTTATCCTTGGTTCTTCGAGCTTTCTCCTGCTTTTTGGAGCTCCGTTTCACCGCTCACTCAACAAGAAGTTCTGTGTCACCAAAGCCTGAAGTTATAGCACCAAATCTTTGCTCCTTTGTTTCCCATGGGTTGTTTTGTTTTGTCTTTGATACAAGGTCACACTCTGTAACTCTAGCTGGGCTCAGATTCTCCATTCCTCACTGATTATTCCTGCACGATGGCATTATAGGCAGGCACTACCATGCCTGGCCCTCAGAGGCATTTGTCACAGCAACAGAGATCTGACTGACTAATTTTGGATCCTGAAGACATATTACCAGTCTCAAAAACTGTGGAATAAGGTATTATTCTGATTCAAGTTTAAAAGAGCAATACAAAACAATACCCCACTACACTCCCTAGAAACACAAGGTGTATTCTCTGGCATCAACCACTGAAGAAGTTACAGGCTGTTCCCCAAATAAAAATTTAAAGCAACAAAGCCAAAAAGAAACCTAATACACTCTTTTTGTAATTGTACACAGGACTAGAACTGGATTTAGTGTGAATTAGTTACTTTACAGAATGCCTAGCAAAAACAGTTTGAGGGAAATAAAGTTGGTTTTTGTGCAGTTTGAGATACAATGCCGGGAGCACGGTCACATGACAGCCTCATCAAGGAATGGAGAGAGATAGATGCTGATACTTGGTTTGTTTTTCCTTTTCATTTGGTCCAGGACCTCAACCATAGTTAATGGTCTCTGGAAACACCCTGCCCCCCACAGGCACACCCAGAAGTGTGTTTCCATGATGATTCTTGGATAACGGTGGAAACTGTCCTGCTTTTAATCCTCTTTTATATATTATTCCAGTTAAAAATTCCTTTAAAATTGTGCCATGGACCAGACAGGGCTCTAATTAAATGAAATAAATGTACTCTATTAACAGAAATGAGTGGTTATTTTCTAGTACATATTAATAAAAATGACTTACTCCAAATTCTAAGAAGTCTGTGTTTAGAGAGCTCTTGCTCTCCTTCAGCCCACACATACTTGCTCTTTTCTGTGTAGTCCTGCCAGCCCTGTCCCAGGCTATAACCCTTTCAGACTTGACGATTTTAGCATGGGGCCCTGAGATGTCTGCAGAATGTCTATAGATGTGTTTGCCAGGGTCTCTGAGTGCCTTAAAGTTAATTACAGTTACCCTGTGGGGGAGTATTCGGTTCAGCTGCTGACAACACATCTGCAGTCACATCTGGCTCTGGCTCTTGTGGCCTGTGTGACTGCAGGTCCCCAAGACCTCAGTGTCTGTAAATAGAGAATATAACAATGGCATGTACATCACCAGCCTGTGAGGATCAAGTGGCTTTAAGATACAGGCAATTCTGGGGAAGCTGCCTCCTAATGCTGGACAAATGTTCACTGTTTATATTATTGTAGAGTCTGTAAATGTCATTTAAAAGCAAGTTGGGTTTTTACCATGGCCAGGATAGTCTGCAGCAGCTCAGGAGGAGGCCACATTCCTGGGTGTGACCCCAAAGGGTCAGGTAAGCTGGCCATAGAACCTCTCCACCTCTTTGCCGGAGCCTCAGGCGGATTCCCTTTAGTGTCCCTGAGTTCTCACTGTTCCTATTCTGATCTCTGGAACACTCGGCTCCCAGTCTTTGCTCTTTCCGGGTAGTTCTCACACAGTTTTCAGATCCAGGTGTGACTATTTCTTTTTAACACAGTCACCATATGATTTAGGAGCCTTTTTGTAGCCTTTATAAGAAATTTATAATTAAGGCAAAATGTGTGGTGCCTACCTGTAGTACAAACATCCAGGAGACTGAGGCAGGAGGATGGCAGGATGGAGGCCAGCCTGGGCTGCAAAGCAAGTACCTGAGTCAAGAATAAAACCTAATGTATGTACTTCTTTGTAAGGTCCCTCCTTGAAACACGTTTTCACCATTCTCTACATTATTAGTTATTAGTACATAGGTTATTAACAGACTTCTCAAAGTGCTTATTGTGGCTGGGAATAAATTGTTATGATTAATTTTAACTTAGGTGCCATCTGAGAATTAATTAGCATTTAAAACCTCCATCCAAAAGCGTGTTAGTTCCTTTCCTGTGTCTTCGTTACTTTTCTATGTCTGTGAAGAGACTCCATGACCAAGGCATCGTATATAAGGCAGCATTTAATAGGGCTTGCTTAAGGTGCAGAGGATGAGACCATGCAGTCATGGTAAGGGGCGTGGCAACAGGAGGCAGGCATGGTGCTGGAGCAGCTGTGAGCTCACATCTGATCCACAGCAGGAGGCGGAGAGAGAGTGGGCTTGGTGAGGGCTTTTGAAATCTCAAAGCCCATGCACAGTGCCACACCTCCTCCTGAAGGCCACACCTCCTACTCCTTCCCAAACAGTTCCACCAACTGGGAACCAAACACTTGAATATATGAGCTTATGAGGGCCTTTCCCTTTCAAACCACCACACCTTGCCTGGGTAATTGCATGAAGTAAATACAAACACAGCTCAGTGTTCTTGAGTCCTAGAGAAGCTTGGCCCATCTCTGAATTTCAACAAGACCATACATTGGCATAGCTACCAATCCAGGTGCACTCTGAAAATTCTGACCAGCTTTCTGCACCCCTTAGCCCTTTCTCCTTCTTAAGTACAAAAGAAATCAAAGAAATCTCATCTAATGGTGCATCTGATTTAATCAAGTCTAATTTTCTGATGTAGCCAATAGTGTCCCAAGTACAACCTTTTCAGCCCTGGGTGTGTTAATATACTGTTCTGGCCCTTACGATCTCTCATGGGATCCAAGTTACTGATACTATTCTCATTACAATTTTAGCTGAAGCCTCTGTTTACCTCCCTGCTCTGGAAATGCTCAACCTTTCTTGGAATAAGTGTGTTGGTGGGAATCTGAAGCTGCTTCTTCAAACACTGAAGCTGCCACGGTCAATCTGAGTGTTGAGACTAAGCAGCGGTGCCCTGGTGACAGAGAACGTGATTCTCCTGGGTTTGTATTAACCTACCAAGGGGACACTTGACACAAAGCATGGACCAGGTAGTAGACCTGGGACTATGGCAGCTTCCTTTTTCCCAGTACCAATGTAAGAGAGATCTGGTTAAACCAAATAATGTAATTCTGGAGCCATATGACAGGAGAGTGTTTCTGAAGAGAAGATGGTGATAAGAAGGGAAGGGGGCATTCCTGCCAAATAACTTCTGCTTCAACCACAAAGAGTCCATCATCTATCGCTTACTTGCACTATTAATTTTCCCATAAGTTGACCCAAAAATGCTTTTGAGGTAGGAGGATGTCTCTCAGTAGTAGAGCACTTGCCAAGCATGCATTGGGCCCTGGATTCAATCCCTGTCATCTCAAAACAAGCTAATAATATAAAAAAATTAATACAGTGAACTAGAGAGATGTCTCAGCAATTAAGAATGCATGATGCTCTTGCAGAGGACCTGCGTTTGTCCCCAGCACCCTCACTGGAGTACTTAAAGCTCTCATAGTCACCTGCAATTAGGTGTGCATCTTCTACATAGACACATACACTCATACATAAATAAAATATATCTTTTAAAGTTAAGTACATAAAGAATTACATAAAGTAAAGAAAAAACATGCCAGGTAGTGGTGGCATACACCTTTAATTCTAACACTTGGGAGACAGAGGCAGGCAGATCTCCAGGTTCAAGCACAGCCTGGTCTACATACATAAGTTCTAGGATAGCCAGGGCTATGCAGAGAGACCCTACCTTGAAAAAACAAAAGGAAGGAAGGAAACAGCTTGTCATCATAAATGAAGTATGAGTATCAATTATTACAGATATTAGCTCACTAAAGGCTGTGAGTAGAAGTTCATTCTGTGTTTTTAAAAAAAATGACATGAGAAGGCTTAAAGGAGTATTGTAGCACAAATCTGACACTTCCCCTAGGGCAGTTTAGAAGTATGGAAGGGGAATTAAATAAGGACTAATTTAAGTTATCTGAGTCCAGGCAATGTACCTGAGCTCACTATCCTCATTATAGTACTGGTGTCCATGTCCATCTGGGAACAATGAAGAGCATGGTGTCTCCCACCTAGCTTTAGTGACCTCCATCATGACTCTGCTACCAGCTCTCTGATTTCTGGAGCCACAAGTATTCCCTGAGATGAGCTGACCAAGGTGGAGTGTGGGGGTGACAGGTCAAAGTCACTAGAAGACAGACCGAGGTCCTTCCTTCCATGAGGTCAGCTTCAGGATGAACTGAAAGAGCATGGGGTGGAGGACAGAACCATAGTTGCCATCAACAGAGATGGTCAAAGGGACACTTCACAGAAGACTCTCAAGATCCTTTGTTCTGAGGTTCTGTGTCACTTTTCTCCCTAACCCTTTTCTGGGTTCAGCTGAAGAGGGATACAGGTGCCATTTGCCTGGGGTAATTTGCCTACTTATTCCTGTAGAAGCCATCATCTTCTCTTAGGCCACAATATGATAAAGAGGAAACTATGTTGTGTACTAGAAGTCTCTAAAGTGAACAAAAAACTATCTGGTATATTTTGCACATTGGATTTACTGTTAGGAATGGTGATGCAGCTCAGTAGGGGAATGTTTACCTGGCATGTTCGAGCTTGAGACCCTGGGCTCAATTCCCAGCACCTCCAACATGAATGAACTCAGTTAAATAAGTGTTGAATGAATAGTGATAGAATTAATAAGCAATGAATAACTAACCAGCTTTTAACTGCAAGGTGGCTGTGTGCCAATGGTCCTCAGTCAAAGCCAGTGTGCCATCATTCTGTGCATCTAGTCAGGGAAAGTAGAGCTGGGACTTCTGCGGAGCAGAACACTTAAACTAACACACAAGTGAAATTCTTCCAGTCAGGGCTGAGGAAAGATGGGGATGTCTATTTTCAAGCTGTACATGGGATACATGGAGATAAAGTTTCTGAGTAAAATGCTTTCTGGTGACCCAAATGAAACTACAAGCTAGCAGCAAGTCATTATCAATTGCTGATAATCTCAGAAGAGGTGTGTTACTGGAAAGAGGGAACAGATAAAGGAGAGTATCCTTATATTTTAGAGTGATTTTTGTTTTCCAGCCTCAGCCATATGGACAGGCCATTTAGCTGAGCTGCAGAAGCTTGACCTGAGCTACAACAACAGCATCTGTGACACAGGATGGGCGATCTTCTGCCAAAACCTCTGCTTCCTTAAAAAGCTAACTGAACTAGACTTCAGCCTTTGGCCATTGAGTTCCCGGGGTCGTGGGCGATGGTTTAGGCACTTACTATGTTCTGTGACCAAACTTCCTGTGGTCACTGAGATAGGAATGAGAAGATGGGTCATACCAGCCTCGAAGAAGGAAGACCAGAAGGCTTTACCCACAACCACAGAAGGGGCATTCAATTTGACCACAGTGGGTTTCAGTGTGCTGCTTCCTAATAATGAATAATTCTCTAATGGAGGAAAAGAATATGAATGAATCCCAACATCAGCTGATCTCAGGAAGTGTTGTTTAGAAATATTTATATTCTAAGATTTTTGTAATTATATATAATAGTGGTTCCCAACCTGTGGGTTGTAACCCCTTTGCGGTCAAACAACCCTTTCATAGAAGTTGCATTTCAGATATTTATATTATGACTCATAACAGTGGCAACATTATAGTTATAAAGTAGGAACAAGATAATTTAATAGTAGGGCTTCACAACAACATGAAAACCTGTATTAAAAGGCCACAGCATCAGGTAGGTTGAGAACCACTCACTGGTCTATAGTAACCATATATGGGGATGCAGAGACTGCTCAGTCTAGAAAGTGCTTGCTCTGCAAGCATGAGGACCTGAATTTGATCTAAGTAGCACACATAAAAAAGCAAGGAGTGACTGCCCAGAGCTGCAGGTTGCAAGCAGCCATAGGAATACACAACAGTGACAACGTATTTAACAACTCTACCCATCAGAGTCATAACATCCTGTTGGGAAGCCCCACTTTGCAAAGCTGTGGGGTTACTGACTGTAAATGACTAGTTGTTTCTGCCCATAACTTTCTCAAGTGTCACTACTATACCTCCCTAATAAGAACAGCTGTGGGATTCTTTCCCCAGCCATTTGGTGGTATGTTTTACACTTTTTGGGCACACATTTCGCTGTGGGTAGTCAGGAAGATGATTTCTGCTTAATCTATATAATTTTAATGAACAGAAATAATAATAGGATATTTTACATTACTCAGACTGACACAGGAAAGTAATAGTATTCTCAGTTACAAAGACCGCCTTTTATACAGACAACTAATTTTATACCAGAACAAATTCAGAGAAGGCTGGTTGCCCCTGGAGATGAATATCTTGTTTCCCCTAGAGACAAACACATGAGGGTATTTTCCCAGGTGCTTTGCTGATTCAAGGATAGAGCTTAAAGCAACTTTAGAAGACATAACTCCCTTTAGAAATGGATTTCTGCTTGCACTCCTTACCACTTAAGGTCCAGCTAATTAATTGTTATTGTTAATTCTTGATTTCCAATGTTATTTTCTGTTCAGGAACCCTAACCATTTAGGATATATGTATGGTCAAGGGTTACTCACTAGCCAGTCAATGTGACATCCCTAGCCTAAGAGAAACTACATGATGTATCTTACGTTATGAGAATGGGTCGGACCCTGAAAATGCTTAGCTATGAGAGGAGCAGCTGCAGCACAGAGAAGGAAGCTGTATTGAACTGTGTGGAGGCTGCTGGAAAAGCGCTGTGTGTGCAGGGTGTGAATGAGGGAGATGTAGGAAGAAATGTGAAGGTATGTAACTATGGAGAATGTATGAAGAATGCAGAGCCATGCAAGAGCTACACAGGGTGAGAATGTGTGCGTGCCAAGTGAAGGATGCAGATGAGAATGATGTAGAAGTATGTGTGTGAGAGAGTTACTGCTACATAGAGGAGCTGTGCTAGGAACTGTGTGAAGTGCGCTATGGTGAGAGATACGTAAATGAGATGCTTAGCAACTGTAGAGGCAAGGAAGATGAAGCTCCATAGGAAAGACAGGTAGAAGAGAAATGTCTGTAAAAAGAGAGATGTGTAGCCACGTGTAAATAGATGTAACTGTGTGTAGAAATGTGTGGCTGTGTAGGAGAGAGATGTATGTATTAAAGAGAGATATGTGGCTGCATGTCAAGAATGTAGCTATGTGGAGACAGAGTTTTTCAGAGAGGATTTTTTTTCAAGATGAAGTGAAGAGAAAATTACCATCAGAAAGCATCTGTTTTCTTATTTTCCCCTCAGATAGATGAGAACTTTTCCTAGCCCTTACTGTCTGGAGACATTTCTTTTTGCTACCCTGGAGCAGTCATGGGAGTTTTCCTCCACAGACTGAGACAAGTGATGATATGCTTGTCTGTAATCACAGTGCTGTGGAGACAAGAGACAGGCAGATCCTTGAGGCTCCCTGGCAGCCTGTCTGTCAATAGCCAAGCACCAGGCCTAGTGAGAGACCACACCTCAAAACCAGGTGGGTGCTGCCCCACAGGAACATTTCTGGTTTACACACACCACACACACACACACACACACACACACACACACACACACACACACTTTATAAGCACACACATCTGTATAAGCACACATACCTGTACATATACACACATATACATACACACACACACACAAAATAATAATAATAATGTGAATGTGTCTTTAGTCTATCTTACAAAACAAAGCTGATGCTTTAGAGCAAGATTTGCATTTGTTTGGAATGTATAATTAATCCATCTACTCTTTAGGAAGCCCACCAGGAATGTTTATATTTTTGGTAATGCATCAGATTTATTTCTCATTCTGAGATTTTTCTGCCTTGTTTCCCTATATGTTATATGTGTTCCACAAAGCCTGGAGTTGCTGGGAGTTTCTTTTTAGCATAGCAAATAATTTAAAAGACAGTAAGACAGTGTCAAGCCAGGTGTTGGTGGCACACACCTTTATTCCTAGCACTCAGGAGGCAGATGTAAGCAGATCTCTGTGAGTTCAAGGTCAGCCTGGTCTACACAGGTAGTTCTAGGACAGGACGGGACAGTCCCCAAAGCAATACAGAGAAATCCTGTCTCAAAAAAAAAAAAACAAAACAAACAAACAAAAAAAAACAAAAACAAAAAAAAGGGGGTCAGAATCATGTTTCCTGAAATAAAATAAAATCTTTTATGGATGGAACAAACAAATTCCAATAAATATTTTCTCTGGGCATTTTTTTTTTTTTTTTTGCTTTTTGTTTGTTAATGAGAGTGTTTGTGTTACACTGTGCAAGCTTTAAATGTTTTCACTTCCTAGAGGGTAAGTCACTGAACAGCAAGGATGTTTGCTATACATTTGTATTCTGATACATGTGAGTCAATGGGTTTTTTTTTTCTACATGACACTACATGAATAACTAAAAACTCAATTATTGTTTAAAGATGTATAATGTAAGATCTGTGTGATAGCTCAGCTTGTGAAAGTCCTTGCTGCCAAACCTGACAATCTTCTTAGTTCAATCCCCAGGACCCACATGATGAAGCATGTTGTTCTCTGGTCTCCACACATGTACCATGGAATGCACATGCCTCCCCAATAATAAATTTTAAAATGTGATAAAATTACATTTAAAATAAGTTCCGTTCAAAAGGCAAAACCATTGGAATGAGGTGATTTTGAGAACACCAGAAGGGGATGCTCTGTGGATTCCTTTCTCTCCAATGTCCCCATGAATTCATAAGCATCTATGTCTTTTGCAAAGACCTATGTGTGAATATTCACTGGAGTTTTATTCCTAATAACCAACCTTTCAATAATGAGAGAATGCTTGAACAGATTGATTGTGAGACTAGGCCATATGCCCAGCATCAAAGGGCATAAACTGGCCAGACAGCATGCCTCCTATTCTAGTCAAAGACTATCTCAAGACAGTGAGTCAGTAGGGGACACCCAGTATCCTTCTGGCCTTTGGATGTGTGATCATGGGCCCATACACGTGCTCACTAATGTGCAAAGAGGGATAAACTACTACACATGCAACAGGTTGGATGGACTAGAACTGACTATGCTGGCTTTAAAAAGTCAGTCCCAGGGATTTTTCTAGCCCTGGCCGGAGACACAGCAACAGCAACAGCTCCACACCATGCTATGTGGCTGGTGGGAGCAGAACTCAACCATGCACAGAGGCACCAGGCAGTTCGGATACCACTACAGTGAGCGAGCACAGGGAGGGAAGGTGGAAGAGAGACAGGGGTGGAGCGGTACATGGGCTGGGGACAGGGGTGACTCTGAAGAGGTGAGGGTGGTGAGAAACACGCTTGTTGTAGCATACTCCTTTACAGTGTGTGAAGAACTGCCATTGTGATTGGTTAATGAAGAGCTGAATGGCCAATGGCTAGGCAGGAGGTATAGGCCAGGCTTCTGGACAGACAGAGCTCTGGGAGGAAGAAAGGTGGAGTACCAGCCAGACACAGAGGGAGAAGGGCATGCAGGGGTAGATGAATAGAAAGGGTTAATTTAAGTTATAAGAGCTAGTCGGACAAGCCAAAGCTGCAGGCTGAGTTTTCATAATTAATAATAAGTCTCTGTGTTGTTTTTCTGTGAGCTATCAGCCTGAAGACAAATCTGTTTGCACATGCTAATGTAAATGGCCTGTTTGCCACCAGAGTCCGAGGTGATGTCCAGGCCTGGGCTATTGCCAGTAGCCAATTTTAGTCTGAGTCCCTGAAGCAGCTGAGGGACCTGAGTTGATGGCTGTGGCTCCTGTCACCACTGAGGGTTGTGCCTAAGCCTGTAGTCTGGGCAGCCACCTGGGGCCACGTTGGTGACTGAGGGCCATGCTGCCTTGGAGACCGTGCTGATCTGAGTGGCCTGCACTGTCACCTGGGGCCATTGTGTCATCCAGGCCAGGGCTGCTGTCAAGGGCATGTCTGGGTCCATGCTCTACAGCAGCCAGGGTCTGAGTTGATGTCCATGGCCCTTGCTACCAGGGCCTATGTGGATGTCCAGGGCCCAGTCAGCCACCTGAGACCGTTTTGGTGTCTGAGGTTCATGCTGACACTAGGGCCTTAGTGAAGCCCAGGTTGCTGGCAAGGGCATGTCTAGGTCCATGGTCCTGCTTCAGCTGGGGTCTCTGTTGATGTTCCTGGCCCGTGTAACCATGGGGGGTGGGTTCAAGCATGCGGTGTTGAAATCCGAAGGCTGTGCTGAGCTGGCACCGCCCTGCTCTGGCCCTGGGAGAGCTGGTCCTGCCCCTTGCTAGATACTGTAGCAGGAGAGCTGCACCCCACAATGAGAAAAGATGGCCCCACCCTTCGCCACAGGAGTGCATCTCACTTGAGCAGCACAGTAGAGCTGACCCTGTTGGTGGTGGTGGTGGTAGTGGTGGTGGTGAACCAGCCCTGAGGGCATGGGAGCAGGCGAGCTGACTTCCCCTTGTATGGCCCTCTACAGCAATCAGGAGAGAGGGCCATGCACCATGCCTGGGGAAGACAGTGGAGCTGGCCCTAGTGGTGTGAGTGTGCTGAGCTGGGTCTGAGGACTTGAGAACAGGAGAACTGGTTCAGTCCTTGCTGCAGCCTGCATTGGGTGGGCTGGGCGAGGCAGTGCTGGAGAGCTCGCCTGGGTGATGATGGGGGAGAGCTGGCAGCCTGACCAAACCAGCTAACACCCAAGCTGAGAACCAGGGATATTAGTTGGCCCATCCCAATATCCACCTCGTGTATGAACTGTTGGAGCAGGTGAAGGGGAGGAGCCTACAGATTCAGAACTTCAGAATCTCTACAACACAAGACAACAACAGGATAGCCAAGAGAAACCAGGGAGAGCCCATTATCGATGGTACAACAGGGGCCAGAGGTCTCAAACCAGACCAATGACTCACGGCAGTGAACACTTGCAAATAAAGATGGCAGGACTAAAGGGTAAATTGTGTGACTCACTGGGTCCCATGATGACTCTTCCCCCCACCTTTTTTTGTTGTTGTTGTTTGCTTGCTTGCTTTGTTTGGTTTTTGGTTATTCTTTTAAATTTTGTTTTGTTTTGTGAGGAGGCTGCAAGGGCAGAGGGTGCAGTCAGAGATGGGGAGATGGGTGGGATCTGGATACATGATGTGAATTCTGAAAGGAATCAATAAAAGTCTGGAGAATTAAAAAAATAAAAAAAAAAAAACCTCAGTCCTGGAAGTGATGAAATAAAAGATAAAAGGCACTTTCCATGAGGCTTGTTGATCTGAGTGTGATCACAGACCCACATGGTCCAAAAGGAGAACTGACTGTCCCCAAGCTGTCCTGTGACCGCCTTATGTGTGCTGTGGCAGACTCATGCACACACACACACACACACACACAGAGAGAGAGAGAGAGAGAGAGAGAATGAAACGTTTTAAAGAAATTGCAGGTACACGTCATTTGATGGGAAATGGAGGATAAGTTAGGATTTGGTACACAGTGGTGTGACAACAAAGAATGTCACAATGGAAACTTGTGAAGAGCAGCCTGTCTTTGATTTGTAGAAAGCTATGTGAGACACAGTTTCATTGAACTATACAATGCACACATAACTGAAGGAATCTGAGTAAGTGCTGTTGATTAAACCGTCAGTTTTCTACTCATACTCACACTGTATGAACTGTCAGTATAGGTGGGAGGTGCTTGGACATCCTTGTATATTTCCCCAGAACTTCTTGAAAATCCATGACTTCCCCAAATGTTTCTTTTGTAGACAAAAGAATGTAGGGACCACACACACACACCACACACACACACACACACACACACACACACACACCCCGCGCGCGCGCATGCTCTGCTTCTGCAGTAATCCATTCACAGCCGGTCAGCGGGTCCTGTCCTGCTACATCTAAACCCATCCCCTTTCTCCTCTACCATGCTGTTTTGAAGCAGTCACCAGGTTACCTCCTTCTTCCCATAAACATTTTGGTAAAATTAAGACTCTTTTATTATTGCAAATAACCTAATTTTAGTGACTATTTTCAGTGTGGCTGTTGTCTCCCTAGACATTTGCCTTCCTGCTCCATCAGTGGTCTTTCTCTTCACTCATTCATTTCCACGATTATTTCTTATTCCCTTTTGCAGGTTTCCCTTTTGCAGCCTTCTTTCCTTTCTTATCTTTTGGGGAGTTTTTCCCTTTTTTTCGGGCTTTTAGTAGCTCTTCAAAAGACCCAAATCCTTTCCGCACCATGGTTCCACGCCACCATGCCTGAATCTGAAAGCAAGATAGACCCAAACATAGTGTTAGCTGGAGTCACAATTGCTATGGTCTGGGTGAGGCTTACTTCTCTAAAACATGCTGAAAGGCTGGAGAGATGCAGGAGATAAGAGCACTGGCTGTCCAAGGATAAGAACCTGAGTTCAGACCCCCAACACCTTACATGTAACACACCGGTAAACCCAGCATTGTACATCGAAAGCAGGCGGATCCTGAGAGCTCACTAGGCTAGGCTAGGCTAGCTGAAATGGTATCCTTCAGTTGGGCAAAAGACCTTGTCTCAAGGTAATCAGGGAGAGGGCCATAGATTCTGAAGCCATACGCAGTAGTGGGAGCGGCACTCAGTGCATGACTGTGGGCTTGAGGTAGAATGGAGCTCAGCTGGTAGAGGGCTGACCCAAGTATGCGTGAAGTACTAGGGCTGATACCCAATGCCACATAAGTTGGTTTGGTGGCCCATGCCTGAAATCACAGCATTTAGGAGATAGACATAAGAGGATCTGAAGTTCAAGGATATCCTTGGCTATATATTGAGTGTCCTGCTGGCTTGAGCTACATGAGACTTTGCCTTAAAATAAATAAGTAAATGTGTGAGTTTGCAAATGATGACAAGAGCAATGGTGAATGGCAGCATATAGTGTGGACAGTTGAGAGAAATTGAGTATGCACTCTCTGCCTGCCTCTCGTTAAAGGATTGCCTTGGCTTCTACTAAAAATCAGCCCCTTCCCCTGGTCCCCAGACTCTGTTGCTGCCCACCTACTTGGGAGCACCTGTCCTCTCATGGCACACTCTGCTCAGACTCTCCAATGATTGGCTCCTCATTTCTCTCTAAACTAAAGTCCAACTCCTCAGCATGGCTCCAAGGCTCAATCTGACTTGACCCTGAAATCTCATTTCTTGATTCTCTTAACTATTCTCTCCTAACCCTTGCTCTTTGTCAAATGAATGGCTTCTTTTTTCACTAATTGTTGTGATGTGCACATATGCAAATGCATATACATAGATATTCGTAAATGTACTGGGTAACTAATTGGTATGCTCTTCCCTGGGGAAGACTATGCCTCTCGCTCTCACCTTCCCTCTGACCTTCACTCTTGAGTTGTGGCACCCATGTGCCTTCACACACACACACACACCCACTCACCCTGAATAAATACAATACTCTTCTAGCAATTTCAGTTTCCTTTACCTTGATTTTTTTTTTTCATATAATACTCATTACCTAAGATAAGATCTCACTAGTTATTCCTGGCTAGCCTGGCACTCACTATGTAGATCAGGGTGGCCTGGGACTCAGAAATCCACTGGGCTCTGCCTCTCAAGAACTGATATAAGATGCACTAACAATCCTAGCACCAGCAGGCAGAGGCAGGCAATCTCTGTGAGTTGCAGGCCAGCCTGATCTACAGAGCAAGTTCTATACAAAGAAACCCCATCTCAAAACAAAACAACAACAAAAAGATACATGTACAAAACTTGGTTTTACTTTTCATGCTTACTTAATGTAATCCCACTAACTTTTAAGCAATAAGCAAACAGAAATACTTGTCTATTTTGATCACTGATGCATCCCTAGTGTCTAGAACATTGCCTGGGGTAAATGAGTTAAGTTCTGGTGATAAAGCTAATGAGGAGGCAGGATCTCATGTTGGAAACTCAGGGAAGAAGCTCTGAGAAGAGAGTACTTTAGCAGAGAGTGAAAGGAAGAAGAGGCTATCGTCTGTCTGGGAGCATCATCTCTGAACAGATGGGACCATCAGTCAGAAAACAACAGCCAAATCAAAATGTTCAAAAGATATTAAAACACACACACTGTCTTGTGTAAGATCTGTGAAAACATGTAGTCCATATCCAAGAAAGAAAAGAATAGTACAAATTTTCTACCTATGAAAGACAGGCTTTTTATGAATAGATATTGATACTGGTATTGTTGTGGCATTGAAATTCCATTAGACACATTTAAAATAGTGAACTATATTTCAAATGCTCTGGAAATGGAGTCCTTTGTAATTGTTTCAATTTTCTGGCAAGAATATTTGGATATCCATTTTTAAAATATGCAGGAAGGGCACATGAACTTTCAAAATGCTTTTAGGAAATAAGCAATAAAAAGACAGCTTTCATCCTAGCGCAATCATTGTGCACCTTGAAAAGATATTTGAACAAAAAAAAATGTACCTTACTTTACTTCCCTTCTTTAGGTTGCAGCTTAGGGATTGTTTTGATTTATTAAAGTGTATGGTGATGGGTTTAGTTTAATTTTGACAAAGAAAATGAAGTATTAGTGTTTAGTGTAAGTGGGCAGCTGTTTGAACTAGTAGACTTGGGATATGACTGTTCTTCCGGATAGAACAAAGGCTTGTCCATTTCACCAGAGACTAGTGAGGCCCACTCACACATGACTCCCAAGCGGAAAGTCACCCTGTGAGGAGGCAAGTGTAGAAGCAGGGTGACAGCTGGGAACTAACATATCATTTGGGTATGAGACGATGTTGGCTCAGACTGGTTGAAGAGTAGAGAATGCTAACTGAAGAGGACATGTTCCCCATATTCCTGCCTGTCTGGGGGTCATATGTCTCATGGGGTCATTGGCCAAGAGCCAGATCTCAAGGCTGTCCTATGACCCCTGTTTGTTTGTTTGTTTTTCAAGACAGGCTTTCTCTGTATTGCTTTGGAACCTGTCTTGGAACTAGCTTTGTAGACCAGGCTGGCCTTGAACTCTCAGAGATTAAAGGCATGTGCCATCAACTCTGGCTGTCCCCCATTTGATCCTCACTCATGGCAGGATCCTGGTCCCTAGACCCCTGATGTCTTAACCTCATCTCACTGGTTCTGTTAATACAAGATTTTTTTCTTCACTCCAGTAAAATAAGTGTGTTATTGAGAAGGTTCATTGAATAAAGACACTTGTCACCAACTTTGACAACCCAAGTTCAATGCCCAGACACACTCGGTGGAAGGGGAAATGGGCTATTATCTATGGGCTAGTGTTGCACCCAGACTTTTTTGGAAAAGCCTCTACAGCAGTGGGTAGCAGTCAATGCAGAGAATCAGAACTGGTCAAAGAGTTGAGAACAAGTGACTGTTGAGTGCTCAGTCCCTGAGCTCAGAAAACATCACTGAAGAGGATATTTGATAGAATAGAAGAGCCCAAGAGGGTGGGTCACCTTCTAAACAGGACAAGGCCATCACTCTCATGAACTCGGCAGCTATGGTTGCCTGCACAAGACCTGTGCAAGATCAGGCCACCAACAATCCAGCATAGACAGGGAGGGGCTCATGAGGCCCTACCCCTAGTTGAGGGGTTATTGGAAGTTGGGGACTCCTGGGAGGGATCAATTTTCTTTCGGGCGTGGCTTCTGGAAGGTATCCCACACTCCAGGGTCTGCCCCACACCCATGAGCAGGCAAGCAGTATTAACTGACCTCGGAGAGTCATTAAAGGGGTCAGGCATAGAGAGGACAGACGTGAAGGTGGGAGGGGGGATAGGTTGGGAGAGATCTGCAAGCAGGGGTGAGGGGAATGAAAGACGAGTATCATCGGATGCATTGTCTAAGAACCATATTGTTTAAATGAAAAAGAAAGAATCTGTGCTGAGTGTACCTTTGTGGCCATTATTTTCCTAATTCTGTTTTCCCTCAGGTATTTCCATATGGCGTCATTGCCTTGGGCACACACTTCCATTGGAGGGTCTTCCATGGGGTTGTTCATCAGTGTTAGGACCTTAAGATTTATCAGGTGGTCAAGGTCTTCCGGGAGGCGCGTGAGTAAATTGTCCTCCAGCAGCAACTCTCTCAACTCTGCAAAGACTTACATTTAATTGGTTGATTCAGCTTAGGATCTCTGTCTAAACCCACCCAGGTGAAATCCATTGCCAAGCAGCTGCGGCAGAGCAGAGCGGGGCACCAGACCAATGGCTTCTAATACCATCTAATCAAATGTCTTTCTGCGTCTGCTCTTCTGCAGGATAAAGAGATACTCAGCAAAAACTAAATGGCCAATGGCCATATGGATAGGGAGTGACTCAGCCAAACAATACTTGAGTGTTTAGTGCAAGTCAGTCATGCAATTCTAAAAATCCTCTTTGCTGATTTCATCATTCCGGGTCAATAATTTTCCTTTTTGTCAAGGGGCTTAGTGATCTGGATAAACATTTACATCAGGACCCCAACTCTGATTGCTACCATTTTATGTGTTCAGTCAGCTACTGCTGATGGTGATGTAATGAAAGTATGTATGTGTGCTAATTTATTTTAGCAACCACTGTTTTCTTCTCTTTTTCTTTCAAATTATAAACTGCCTTTGCAAGGCTTAGCTACACAAATATAGAGGCACCCTTGTGTTACAGAGAGCCTGTCAGTTGGTGATGGTACAGGACAGCTCTACAAACTCTGAAATTGGTCTTTCTTAAGGCAAGGAAGCCTTTCATGGGCAATGTGGGTCTCATTCTGCTGGGTAGTGGATCTAGAAGTTTCTCACCTTGAGTATGGCAAATGGCATCTGGGAGTTGCTTAAGAAGATTATGCCGACAATCGAGAACTTCCAGGTTTGGCATTAACCCCAAGGATGTAGGCAGCTGCTCAAGGAGGTTGTTTTCTATATATAGTTCTTTAAGATTCTGCCATTAACATGAGAGTTGTGTGGTGAGAACATTCATCTTAATAAGTGAATTACAATAACCAGACCTACCTGTGAGTGTCCATTCATGTGCAGCAGGGAAATCATGCCTTGGAACAATGGGAGAAACATGTTTGTTTCTTGTTTTTAGTGCTTATTCCCTAATTTGTGGTGCTTCTTAAAGCTGGTAGGGCCTTTAAGAAGAAGGCCTGGCTGGCAGAAGCCTACCACTAGATACAGGCCATGGGAGGTCATACTTGCCACAGCTTTGGTCTAGCTTGCTCTGTTTCCTCGTCTGCCAAGATTAAGGAACCTTTGACACATATTCCTGCTGCCATACACAAAGCCACTCATGCCATGAATGAACATGAAGGTTGGAGGGTGTGCTGGCTAGTTTTATGCCAACTTCATATAAGCTGGAGTTATTGAAAGGAGGGAACCTGAATGAGATCCATCTATAAGGAATTTTATTAATTAGTGATTGACAGTAGAAGGCCCAGCCCATTGTGGATGGTGCCATTCCTGGGCTGGTGGTCCTGGGTTCTCTTAAGAAAGCAGGTTGGGCATGTCATGGGGAGCAACCAGTAAGCAGCACCCCTCTATGACCTCTGCATCAGCTCCTGCCTCCAGGTTCCTACCCTGCATAGATCCTGACCTCACTGTTTTTAATGGTGAACCCTAACTAAGAGAGAGGCAGATGTTTTGGGGAGGATCTTGGGGTTATAAGCAGGGACATTAGGGTGGCTAGGATCAAGATGCATTACATATGTATATGAAGTTGTCAGAGAATAAATAAAAGATATCTCTTTTAAAAAGACATTGTTGTAGTGTCCTATGTCCAGGAGACTACAGCAGCCTGGTCTTGCTCAGCTTATATGTCCGATTCTTTTTTGGAGGGAAGGGTATGGATTGAGAAATGGCAGGTAGAAAATTAAAGATACTAAAGAAAAGAAAGAGACACAGGATAGACTCGGGAGGGCATTCCAGTGAATACTGAATCCACCCCAAGTTTACTTTTCAAAGTCTTTTTATTATATCCCAAGCCAAAGGGGAGGGCAAAAGATTTCTTTTCCATGATATAAAGAACACTCAAAACATCTCTTAAGGAACAAAACATCCAGTAGCCACACTCTTAGGCTAAATGTTCTGTTGTTAAAATAACATCCATTAGTTACTTCTTAGCCAAACATTCTGTTGTTTGCCCTTGAAAGACTGAAAACAAGCTTGGACTCTCTAACCTATGTCAAGATGAAGTGGAACTATCTATCCCTCTGAGCCCTGACACACTGTATTTGTTTACACTGTGAAGATGTGTCTTTGCCAAGGTGCCTTCTAATTGATTTAATAAAGAGCTGAATGGCCAACAGCTAGGCAGGAAGAGGTTAGGTGGCACTTCATGGACTGAGAGGACTCTGGGAAGAAGAAAGGCAGGGTCATCAGGAGACACAGATGAGATTTAACTGCCATGAGCCACAGATTAATATAAATGAGTTAGTTTGAGTTATAAGAACTAATTAGAAACAAGCCTAAGCTTATAGGCTGAGCTTTCATAATTAATAAATTCCCGTGGTGTTATTTGGGAGCTTACTGGTGGGACAGAAAAAGAATCATTACAAGACATAGTGAATAACAATCACAGTAGAGTGTTGTAGAACTTATTCATTAACAATGAGAGCCTCATCGTGTGAAACCCACTGTTTGGGACTGAAAATCTAGTACAGATGCATGGTTTCTGCAGCGTGGGAAACATTGCCTTGTGTTCTCTCAGCATTAGGTTGTGGGGGAGGGCAGCATGTGCTTTTTGCCTGTCTGTTGGGAGGGCTTACCCGCAATTTTTTGATGTTTTCTGGCACATAGGAAATCTTGCATCCCTCGTCTTGTCCAATGTATAATTTCTCCAGAGACACTAAGGAAAAGATTTCCTCCGGGAAGGATGAAAAGTCATTCCCTGTGAGTCCAAGTACCTTCAGTTTCATAAGTGAGCCCATGGTTGATGGTAACTAGAAGTATAACAAAAAGATAACATTAGGGTTGAGGTTGTTTTCAAACACTCAAAAGTAAGTTGTTTGGGTTGTCTGGTGGCAATGGGTTATCAATACTGACATTAGTGTCACCAAAACTGTATACAAAGCACCAGGGCTAAATTTAACTGGCTCTGTGGTGAGAATTTTAAAGTCGAACTTTTGGCGTTGAAACAAGTTGTTAAACAAAGCATAGAGTTGCTTAGTGTCTCCTAGAGATGGACAACTTCCTTATACGTTTACATGTATTATATAATTTGCCATAAATGTTTGCTTGATACTGTTGAAAGAAAGAACACTGTGATTACATGGAATATAATATTTGTAATACATTTATTTCCTGGAATGGATACAGTTTGTGACACCTGGTTTTTAGCTCCCAAGGTCTTTCACCTGACAGTTTGAAACTGCTTTTGAAGGCAACTGGAAGCAAGCGTATGTTCAGAGTGTTTCTAATTAGGATGCTTCCTGTAGACCCTGGGATCTGTCATGCCATGTTTTGCCTTCTTTTGAACACCTTATTTGGAAGTTAGGTGGGTATTTTAGAGACTGCCATACTTCAAAGGAAAGCTTTAAGCAGATTCTGTGTTTTAACCCTCTAACACTGGCTAAATATGCTGCTAGCTAACCAACCATGCCACCCTCTTTTCCTCACCACCTCTCAGACAGACAGAACAGAAATCCTTAGGAAATCACCTTGAGTGGAAATCCTTACTAAGCTGCATCACTGTTGGTATACTCCTCTCTCACTCTGGTCCTCTAGGCTCTCATGGAAAAATCTTACTCTAACTGCAATAAGGATGCCTCCCATTGCTGTTAACTTGCACACTCCTTTGTCTGACTTATTCCTGGTGGGAAATCCTTCCTCGTTTCCCTGTCTTCCTCTTACCTTCTCCCCAGCCTGTGCTGCCCTCCTTCCCACTCTGGTGAGACCACAGGACCCTCGCTGTGCCTTTCTATAGCGCATCACTGGGCAATGGTACTGAAATGGGAGAAATTAATAAAAGTCTAAAAACTTATGCTACAAAGCCCATATAGAAAAAAGAAAACTTTCAAGTTCCTCTGAGCTCATGTAGCCTAGGTTGGTCTGGAACTTGTTATGTAGCTGCAGGTGACCTCAGACTTCTGATTCTCCTGCCTCTGTTTCCAAGACCCGGGATTAGGAATATAGATCATCAAACCCAGTTTATTTATTGACTTTAAAAATCAGACCAAGTTGATCTGCAGAGAAATTGAATTTGAGTCTTAGCTATTTAAAAATCCTTCCTGAAGCCCTTGGCTCCCCTTCAACACCAGGCACCTGCATTCAATAAAATGGAAAAATGACAGGAAAAGACCAGCCTAATCCAGCAATACAGCCTGATAATTCTACTCACACTGTTGCTTACTTAACACACTGGTATAGCTTTTCATTTTCAAAGTACATTGAATGTTCACAAGCCTCCAGCCTTGCCCCTGATTTTCAAGACCTCATATTTTGTTTCTTCAATTCATGTTAACAGGGATGGGCTGACCACCGAGAGTGAGATGAAATAACCCTTCCTTCCTCTAGTTGTGTTTGATCATGGTGTTTATCACCAACAGAGAGCAAACTTGCAAATCTTCCTACATACATTTTATTTTGAGTTAATGAAACACTTGGATGAAACTGTTAAATGAAACACTTTCTCCCCTGGAAGGAATTTCTCCCCCCCCCCATCTGTCTCTGTTTCTTTCTGACTCTGTGCTGTCCCCCCCCATGGATACCCCCCCATCCCACTCCTACTCCACCCCCCACCCCACCCCCCGCCCAGTGTTTGGAGCACAACCAGTACATGTTCATGGAGTTCAGAGGGCAGTTTTCGGAAGTCAGTTCTCACCGTCCATCTTGTCTCTGAGGCAGTCTCTTGTTTTCACTGTATTGTGTATTCCCAGCTAGCTACCCATTAGCTTCCAGGCAGTTTTCCTATCTCATACCCCTTATTTTATTGTGCTTATTTATGGCCCTGGTGACTGGACTAGGAACTTCCACCTGCCAGGCAAGCACTGAGCTTAATACCTTTCTAGATCCCTCCTCCCAAAGGTAGACACTCTGGGAACTTGGTGACTTCCCTTACAAATCATATTTTTATTGCTTTTTTATACTTTTATTGTTATTCATTAAATGGGTGGTATATTGTGTGTTTATTTATATGTGTAATATTAAAAATTGTTTCTTTATTTGTGTGGGCCTGTATACTTCATAGTGAGGGTGGAGGTCAAAGGACAACTTGCAGAAGTCAGATCTGTCCTTCCACAATGTCCCCCTGCCTCCCCAGTATCAAACTCAAGTTTCCAGGCTTGGCAGCAAGCACTTTTGCCCAGTGGGCCATGTCACCGGCCTCTATATTTGTGATTTTGTGTGGCTTAACAACAAATATATTGTTTTATTGGGGTTCCCCCATCCCAATTCAATCAGCATCATGCTTTGAGTTGTCTCCACACTGGTACATACAGCCTGTTAGCCCACATTGTGTGCCTATCGCATGAGGATTCTGCAGCTTATCTGCCTTCGCCCCACTGACATTCTAATGGTCTGCCATTATTCAGATGCTCAACAACACTATGGCGGGCATTTCTAAAGTGCATCCGGCACCCATGCGGGGGCAGTTTCTCCAGAAAAAAAAAAAAAAAAAAAAAAAAAAAAGGAAGCAAGCAAAAAACCTGTTCTTCAGTGCCCCATGAATGGAAAGTTAATGGCCTTAGTATTCCGAGGAATGGCGTAAAGCCTATGTCTTACGGAAACTGTCGGGTGGTGTGTGTTATGAGGAGAGACCCTGGAGTCCAAACCGTGGATTGGAATCTTGGTGCACCCTGCCTCTTAAAATAGCTCTTAGTTCTGGTTTTATCTCCTGTGTCCTTGCGAATGATAACACCCCAGTGACAGCGGCCTAAGTCCTTCCTAACTGAACATTAGATGGAAGTAAGAATTGCTACTCTTTGGAAAAGAAGAATTAAAGTGCCACCTTGTGGGACATCTTTGATAACCCTGTTGTTTGTTTTTTCCGGTAGCGGGTTCGACATAGTGGCTGGACATAGCGTCCCATCAAGGGAAGGTAGAGCAGAGTGACAGCCAGGAAGGGAAGCAGTACCTGTCCCACTTTGTTATCGTCCAGCGCCAGGATCTCCAGGTTCCTGAGCGCGCAGATCTGCCCCGGGAAGTGGTCTATGTGGTTCTGACTGAGATCCAGGAAGCGCAAGTTAACCAGGCGCTTGAAGGAGCGCCGCAACCCGCGCAGGCAGGTGTTACGCAGGTACAACAGCTGCAGCGACGTCCAGCGGCACAGGAGGCGCGGCACCTTCTCCAGGCGGTTCTCGCTCAGCCCGACCTCCCTGAGCTCTGTGAGAACTTCCAGGGTTGGCGGGAGGGAGTGGAGGAGGTTGTGGGTCAAATCCAGCACCGACAGCTTGCTGCACTGGCTCAGAGACTCCGGTAGAAGGGGCAGGTAGTTAGCCGCCAAGTACAACTTCTGCAGCTTCACCAGCTGCCCGATTTCTTCCGGGATGGCCTTCAGCTTGTTGTGGTCCAGATCGATCACCTCCAGGCTGAAGAGGGCACAGAGGTCGCAAGGGAAAACCGAGAACTGATTCTGTTTCAGGTAGATCTCCCTGAGCTTGGTCTGGTTCACGATTTCCCTGGGCAGCGATTCCAGGTGGTTCCCGGACAGTCCGAACAGCTCCAGGTGGTGCAGGGATTTGCAGATCACAGTGGGAACCTCTTTCAGGCCGGTGTGGTAGAGCCGCAGCTCCCGGAGGGTGCGGAGGCAGCTGAGTACCGGCAGCGAGGAATAGAGCAGCGGATTGCTGCTCAGGTCTAGCGACTCCAGGCTGATCATCGACGCCAGCTCTGGACACAGACACTGCAGGTTGTTCTTGTACAGGTAGAGGACCCTGACATTCTTTAAGTGCTGAATGTCCGGGGGAATTTCAGCAATCTGGTTGTTCTCCAGATGCAGTTCTTCTAATTCTTTTAATGCCAAAATGTCTGACGGGATAGTTTTCAAACCCTGGTTGGAACCATCAATGAAAAACGTTCTGTCAGTGACTCGCTGGGGTTCACTTCTCTGAACAACCTTGGGTAAATGATCTGCCTTCATTACTTCCTTTGACACGATTTTCACGAAAAGTTCCATGATCCCAAATCTGAAATGGTATAAAGGGGAGAGAAAAAAAAAAATCAGAATTCCCTGACAACCAGACTTAAAAATGGAACACAGGGGCGATGATGATTACGGACAAATGGTTAGATGACTGAAATTATTTTGCAACATAAAATTTATATTTTTTGCATTTCATATTAGGGTAAGAGTTAAAGTGTAAACACCTCTATCTAGTAATTTTGTGCACGTGTGTTAACACAGATTGCCTAATTTAATTTTTTTTTAAACCACTTGTTTGGGAGCTAAAGAAAGGGACCAGCCTTTAAAAGCACGTGCTGCTTTGACAGAGGAACTCAGTTGGTGTCGAAGCACCCAATCTGGAAGCTCAAGCCTGTAACTCCTCTCCAGAGGAACCCCACACTGTCTTCTGTCTTCTTCGAGCACCTGTGCTCATATGTACATACCTCCCCCGATCCAACATAGGCATGGTTTTTAAAAACCTTTCAAAGCTGGGCACAGTGGTGCACACCTTTAATCCCAGAGGCATGTGGATCTTTGTGAGTTTCAGACCAACCTGGGCTACCTAGTGAGTTCCAGGACAGCCAGAGCTACACAGTGAGACCCTGTCTCAAAACAACAGGAAAAACAAACAAACAAATTAACTTGTCAGATGCTTAATTTGATTTAGTCTCAAATGAATTGTGTAAGTTTTCAAAAGGTCATTGTTCTTACCATAACCTCCAGAAAATATTGGGAAAATTTATATTTTATATGTTTTCATAAAGTCACTAGACTTGTTATCTGCAAGCAGGATAAGGACTGAAAATCTAGTGGTCAGCCACTTTTTCTCCATAAGTGGGAGCCAATGGGAAGGACCCCTCCTGCCTGGTGAGGCTAGTAGACAGAGAAGCCAGCTTTCCCTAGGTAAACCAAAAACCAAACAAAAGAACAAACGATACCTGAGACATGAGCACCTGCCCCCCCAAAAAAACCCCCACAGTTTGTAATAGTAATATGTGTGTCAAGAGGGGCAGCTCCTCCAGTCTGGAGTACTCTCAAGTGCTAGGTCAGTTCCCACTAGATATTGCCAAGATGTCTTTGAGGAAGGTGCAGGCTTCACCAGGAGAGTCTTGGTCTCATTCTTTCTGTGTTGCTTGCTCCCTTGGAGATATACACACACACATGCATACACACATATATACACATCACACACACACATACATACATACACACACACATACACACCCAGCAGCATCTCCAACCTTGCTTCTCTTTCCTCCACCTTCTTTTTTTGCTTGTTTGTTTTTGTTTTTCAAGCCAGGGTTTCTCTGTATTGTTTTGGAGCCTGTCCTGGAACTTGCTTTGTAGACCATGCTGACCTCGAACTCACAGATCTACCTGCCTCTGCCTCCCAAGTGCTGGGATTAATTGCATGTGCCTCCACAAAGGCTGTTCTTTAGCTTGTAACTATTTTTAGCTTGCTGGCCTTCATCCACTCTCACCCTCAAGCAATCTGTCCAGTTCAGGAATCCTCCAACCCCAACCAGCCTCTTTCCCCCTGTCCTTACTCCCATATCCAATACTATATTCTGACCATGCCACTCTATAATACTCCTTAGAATCCCTGGTCTCCAACTCTAGCTGAGTCCTTATTGCCTCTCTTAGGGTCCAGAGGCTATTTCAGGCCCTGATTCCAGGCTAGGTCCTCCAAATTCACCCTCCATTGGTGGGTCTGTAATCTGCACCTGGGGGTCACTAGCGTCCTGCCCCATCCCTTCACAGCCTTACTATAAAGAAGATGCTCAGATTCTCCGTGGGTATGCCTTGTCTGCCTCCACACTCCTGTGCCTCTGCAGATTGGTCCTGGGTTGGGCTATCTCAGACTAGTCCAGAAGTCGCCTTCTCCAGGGAACCCTTCCAGAGGGTTTCACTCCTTCACAAAGGTCTTTAAACTACTTCAGGCCCATGCCCTTCACACTTGGAGGTTCTACCATCAGATTCCGAATTTAGCCTTCCATGTCCTTTTGGGGGAGAAAGGCTGGGTCACCAGGATTTGTAGCCCTATTCTCTAGCCCAGCAGGCTAGTCTCCCAACGCTCGAAGGTCCCCTCTCAGTGTCTATAAGCCAGAGTGGGTAATTGTAAGGTGAGGGATCACTGCCTGTGGATTACAGGGTGTCCTGCCTCTCAACTGTGGCCCCGCCTCTTCCCCCTTCCTTCTGGAGGAAGTTCTGTGGTTGCCATGGGAGCAACTCGGGTTGCTGGCCTGGTTTCTGCCTTGTGAGGAACAGTCTATAGAGAAAGCCCAAGCACAACCTTCCTCTTCAGAGGTCCAGACCAGCAAGGTGAGCTGGGTGAGGGGTGCCTGGCCCTGCAGCCCCAGACCAAGCCAAGGGCATCGGATCATACTTGCAGAAGCTTGGGGTAAGGGGAAAACTCTTGACTACCACAGATGTACCTGGCTTTGTGAGGAGAGTGTGGCGGTTTAGTGCCTGCAGCTTCGCTCTTACAGTATGGGGAAGGTATCCTCGGGGCTCTTCTGCATCCCCGAATTTGTGGAAGCCCCAGGAAACCATCCCAGACAAGCTCCTGAGACATTTCTGAGTTCCTACTTCTAGATCATCCACATTTTCTTTTCTTTTAACCTCTTCGCCTTTTTTTTTTTTTAATTTTAAGTTAGCACATAGAAGGGGTTTCATCGTGACATCTTTATTTATACATACCATACTTCACATGCACTTTGAGTATGTTGCGTTTATAAATTTAACAAATTAAGCATAAGGCTAGGGGTGTACCCAGTGGCTGGGAGTTTGCCTGGCACCGACCACGACTTTGGTTTGGGATGTTTGTTTTAAAGTGTGTGTTGTGGGGCTGGAGAAAACGATTAAGGGAAATTGGATGATAAAGGGAGGGACGCTGACTCTATGGCTTTCGGGAAGGGTGGAGCCTGATGGAGCAGGACTGGGCGGGGCTGACCACCTGACTGCTCTAGCCCTGCTCCCTGTAGGTGAGAATAAGGCAGTTTGTACCTACCCCTGATCCCTGGCTGTGTGGCTGCTGCCTTCTCAGGTCACTGGGTCTCTGAAGAAAGTACAGATTTGAGATTCAATCCTGTCTCTGCTCCCTGGCACTTGTAGGGGCAGACACCAAAAGCACTGGTGTTCCATCTCATGATGTTAGTAGCCTGAGGCAGGAAAGTAGCGCAGTGGGAGGGAGCTCTGGTGTCCCTTTAGGAACCACCAAAGGATGATGTTTCCTGGATGCTAATACTGCACTCAGCAGATGATGTACCATAAAAATCTCAGAAATGCGGCAATCTGATCCCATCTCCTCTAGGTAATTCAATGAGTCTTCCTGCACCTGAGAAAAGTGACTCAGGTAGGTCTCTGTTTAGCTTCATTTAATTCAGAGCTTCTCAAAAGTATATGACAGATAAAACTCATGCTGGGGGAGGGGGATGGAGGTGGGGAGGGGAAGGGATCTCTGATCATCTTGGAAAATATTGTGCTACATTATTTAAATGGCTAAAAGTTTCCTAAAATGGGTGATGGGATTCAGTATGTATGTACATCCATCCACATAGATACCATCCTGATATGTGTTTTAGAGTAGTGCCATGAAAGAACTGCTCACAGTAAGACATTAACTGAAAGGTATAAAACTAGACCAGAGATTCCAATTCTGTCTAAACACACACACACACACACACACACACACACACACACACACACACACACACACAAATGCACACACACATGCACACATGCACACACACACATGCACACATGCACACACACACATGCACACACATATGCACACATACACATGCACACACACACATACACAGATAAAACTAAGATTCAAATATGTCTTTTAAAAAATATAATACCAGTTCATTTCCCTTCAATTTAAATACACCAGAGCTTAAATCTTGTTCGGCAGCTATGGGTGGCAAGCTCTGATAGCACAGATACCATTCCCCAGCAATGGATGTGTCTGAGAAGTGGAGATTTAGAGAAGGCAGCATTGAAGAATGCACCTAGTTCAAGTATGAGATCTCACAGTAGATTTTGAGAAAGACATACACAGAAAGTAGAAGAATAGAAAGACAATGGCACACACTTCTTACAAAAGTAAGATCACAACTTCCATTCTGGAAGACCAGGATTTCACGAGATGCTTCTAAAGTAATATTGAACCCAGGTGACACAAACCTGTAATCCCAGCATTCAGGAAGCAGAGGACCATGCATTCAAGACCATTATAGGCTACAATGTGTTTAAAAGAAGAAAAGAAAGGCAAAGTAGCAGGACTATTAGGGAAGCTTATTGTGTACCAGGGAACTGATCCCAGATATGTTTATCATTAAAAGCCAAGCATGGATGAGGATGGGGCTGGGTGGGTAAAGTGCTCACCATACAGTAGGAGGGTCTGAGTTTGGATTCGCAGCTCTCACATAACAGCCAGGCATGCTAGAGTATGTCTGAAACCCTAGCATTTGGGGTAGAGACAGATGGATCCCAAGGGCTCTCTGGCCAATCTAGCCTAAATAGTGAACAACTCGTTCAGTGACCTGTAGACCCAGAAAAGAGAGTGGAGAACAGTAGAGGAAGACCCTTGATGTCAACCTCTGGCATCCATGGGTACAAGGACCTGCATTCCCAACCACATACAGGAACTGAAGGGGATCAGCCTTAGACAGAGGAAGTGGGAGGCACGGGTGGATGAGTTCTTTCATGCGCCGGGTCTCTGGCTGCTATGAAGATGCTATTGAATGGAGGTGCAGTCAAGGTGTCCAACCCAAGTAGGTGGTTGTTCAGATCCTACTGGGCTTCGACCATTGACTAAAATTGACTTCCCTTGGAGCTATCTTAAGAAACCCTGTCATTGCACCCCAAAGAGGCACATGGAAAGTCTTTAGAGTCAGTTTGATTTTGCCTAAAGTAATTTCTCTGGACACCACTTCTTCAGCTACCAGGCTCAATTCATGGTAGAGTTAGTTGCCCCCTTTCAGACAGGGCACTGGCTGGAGCCACAGTCTGCCCACCCTCTCTGGTGCATTTATAGCCTGCTTGGCTTCTCCCTACTCCCTCATCCTGAGTTTTCCCTCTCTTTAGTCCTCACCCTCACATACACACACACTCCTCTGAAAGCAACTTACTGATTGAAACTTTGGGGATAAATTGTATGTGATGATGACTGTGTTTATGTTTCCAAAGCTCCCGAGTCTATGGATAACCTCCAGACACAGTACTGTCAGGTTTGTTCAGAAAACATACGGAAAACTAACCCCTTTGTACTGAATACACTCAAAAACCTGGATGAAGAAATTCAAAAAGGGTAAGGAAGATAAATATTCAACTGTATCAAAAGTACTCACTGATCCTCATTTCTGTGAAATCCTCCACCAATCAGTAGTTTTGTTCCCATTTCAAGATGGCTTGGTAAAACAGACATAGCTTTTGATTCAGGGAAATGGGTAGATGCGTGGCAATTTGAGGTCTTAGGTACAATATCTGTCTTTAGGAAAAGCATTGGACTGGGAGCTTTCAATCCAGGGCTCCTGTAGCCATCTCTGTTCCCCTGAGCTCAGTGAATTCAGGCATTCCCTTTGTCCTGGTTGCTGCTGCTATTTCTGTTGTCTTGTCAACTTGACCCAAGTTTGATTTACCTGGAAAGAGGCACCACAGTTGAAAAAGTGCTTCCACCAGAGTTCATGTATGAAGGTCAGTGGGGAAGTTTTCTTGATTAATGAAGAATGTAGAAGAGCTAGGTAACTGTGTGTGGTACCATCCCTGGGCATGCTCTCCTGAGTGCCATAAGAAGGTTGGCTGAGCTAGCCATGAGGTGCAAGTTGATTCCGTAATGGTGTTTATCACAGCAGAAACCTAAAGTATCTTCAAAGTGTTCAGTTTAAAGTAGGTTTGATGGTTCGCTGTGTCAACTTGGCACAACTGAGAATAACTTGGGAACAATGAGGACATTTCTGTATTTTGTTAGCCTATGCCCATGTCTATAGAGGATTCTCTTAAAGTTAATTTTTGTGGGTAGACATAGCCCACTGTGAGCAGTATCATTTCTTAGGCCAGGGTCCTAAACTGGATAAGACTGGAGAAATCAAGCTGAACACATGAAGCAATGCATGCATTCATTTCTTTCTACTCTTTTTTTTTTTTTTTTTTTTTTTTTTTTGTTTTTGTTTTGTGGTGGGGGTGTTGTTCTGGATAAGGTTTCTTTGTGTAGCCCTGGATGCCCTGGAACTCCTTGTGTAGATCAAGCTGGCCTAGAACTCACAGAGTTCCACCTGCCTCTGCCTCCTGAGTGCTGGGATTAAAGCGTGCACCACTACCTGGCCTCTGTCTACCCTTGACTGTGGGTAAAATGTAACTAGCTGCCTAAGCCTCCTAAGCTGCACGTGAGTTATCCTCAGGGTAGATGACTTGGAATCAAACACTGAACCCAATACTCCCTTAAACTTCTTTCTTTTTTCCCCCTTTATTTCCTTTTTGTTGGTTGGTTTGTTTTGAGACAGGGTTTCTCTATGTGGCCCTAGATGTCCTGGAACTCACTCTGTAGACCATGCTGGTCTCCAAATTACAGAGATCTGCTGACTTCTGCCTTTCGAATGCTGGGATTAAGGGTACCAGATGGGAAGTGATGCCAGAAGCCTTTAATCCCAGCTCTCAGGATGCAGAGGCAGGTGGATCTTTGTGAGTTCAAAGCCAGCCTGCTCTACAGAGTGAGTTCCTGGACAAGCAGGGCTACGCTGAGAAACCCTGTCTCAAAAATACAAAACAAAACTAACAGAGCCTGGCTGTCACAGTTCTTTTTGTGGGCATGTTTTATTACAACAGAAATAAAAGTAGGACAGTGGGGTATATGAGAGAAATTAAGTGATGGGGAATTTACTATGACAAACTGGTTTGTGAGGTCTGTGATACCACTATTCACATGCAACACATTTCAAACTTTGTGTCACCACCGTCCTCCTCACTTTGTCTTTTTTATTTTGACAGACTAGAAAAAGGGTCCACATTAAACATTGCTGGTAACAACCGCTTAGTCAAGGTACAAAGAATGACAGGTGAAGATTTTTGGCTTCTTTCCAAAGTTTTAATGAATCAGTCATTTATCATTGGTACGTTTCCTTAATAACATGTCTGCTTTTCCTTTTCCCAATTTTAAATGTTCTTTATGAAGATTGCCAGTTTATGTTCACCTGTGTGTTTCAGGTATAGATGTGAGGTATAACCTCATAGGTGATATTGGTGCCTACTATGCTTCAAAACTGCTTCAGGTATTGCATTGCCCCCAAACAGCCTTGTCCATCATTCTGCTGAGGTGAAACCATGTAGGTAAATGGTATATGGGCAAAAAATAATTTGGAAAACACAAGGATCCTAAGTCCTGGCTGAATGTGTAGCTGTTGAATTACATGGAAATTCACTTTTATTTGATCTCAGCAGAGCTGATACCTGGGGCTCCTGAGTTGTCTTTTGAGAACCATAGTTAAATACTCAAAGATGTCCATAGATACAGGTGTTGGTGAAACTGAATAGAATCTTTTCCTTTCAATGATAATGTTATTGCCGTGTCCG